CTTCTCTAATTCCCACACTCTGGTGGATTCCACTAAACCTCACACTAATGACAATAAAAAATAAATCTCCTAACATATTGAATTCAGGCCCCAGTAAGACTGATTTCACAATGAGAGTAAACAGTTATATCAAAAAGAGGAAAATGACAATAAGATGACTGCCAGAAGGTGAATGATAAGAGTGGAAACTTTTGTTTGGTCAGCCGGGTGTCCAACATATGAGAAAACCAATCATTACGCTTAAGCATATCCAAACCAAACTAAGAATTCCACGTGTATATGCCACATATGCATGGAAATGCACTCGCTCGCTCCCTGAAGGGATGCTTACCTAACTTTGGGAAAAACTACACCCAAGGTGGCAAGAGGCAAACCTAGGACCATCCTACCCAATGGCGCTTTAGATTAGGCGTGTCAAACATAAACCGGTGGGCCGCTAGTGGCTCTTGGGATAATATTTGGTACCAGGCCCATTCATTTCTAAAATATAATAATATAATAATAATCCTTGCATTTGATATAGCGCTCTTCATGTCTTCTAGAAAAGTATTGATATACTGTACTTTCCTGGAATTTTTCTTCAAACCAACCTTCCTCTTTTTAATATAAGACGTATATACACTATTGAAACCTTTACATTCTGCATTGCATGAATGACATTCCCATTAAGCCAAAGACAACTCACATTAAGTATGCAATATATTATGTATAACTTCTTTGTGATCCGGTCCACCAAGTGAACAATGTTAACTTAAATGGCCCTTGTGGCCAGATGAGTTTGACACCCCTGCTTTAGCTTGAGGGTTAACAGGAGCTGAGGGGGAAGAGTCCCTGCCCCCTGTGACTGGTCTGCCCCTCCAAGTCCTACCAGAGAGCCAGGCTGGTTAGTCTATTATCAGCCATGCCCCAGAGTACTGCAGACTCACCTGGCTCAGGAAACGGACTATCAAGACCAACACAGAGGGCTGGCTCCATTCTGACATTCTGTTGGCAAACACGTCAACTTAGAGCCAGGTCAGCTCTAAAGAGACCCAGTTTACCTCCTCCCCTTCCACCCCCAAGAAGGACAGTCACTCACGGATAGCTGGTAGCTTGCAGTGCTTAAATAGTCTGATTGGGAAAGAGTTAACTGTTCTTGTTGACTGTACACAACACAGCTTCATCACCTGACTGAATGTTTGATGGGAAACCTGAAGTACTTCCCAGGATCAGATGGAGTTTAATTATCTCTTGACCTTCGTTGACCACAGTAGAGTTTTTGTTACTATTTTATTTTATTGTAGACAGCCATGGACTAATGAAGGATCGGGGTTGTTTTTCTCTCTGGGTGAAAGGTCAAGCTCCGTGGGACAACTTTGGCAAAAAGAGCATTTGAAGATTACAAGCAACATGTGACTAGTCTCAGGTGACTGGTTGTGGTTCAGTGTTAGATCATTAACCGTCCTTGTTTTCTACAATCACACACTTTGGTAATTGGGAAATTTGGTTGTAGCTGAATATCAGAGGCCTTACATCTTTATAGTTCTGTTTCCTCTGGTCACAGTGAGAGGTTCACCTAGTTATTAAAGGTGAGTTCCCTATCTCTGATTACTTAAAACAAGTGGTGTGACTTCCTCTGCTGTTTAGTTCTAAATAGCCATGGCATGAGCGTAAAACCCTGGCAATGTAAGTTTTCGGTTTATTGTTAAAGAAGCAACAGGTTATATTTTGTGTGCAACAACAACAACTTGCATTTGTATAGCGCCTTTCATGCGGGGCAGGGTCCCAGAACACTTTGACAACAACAACTAACATACAACAAATTACATTGCTATAGCGCCTTTCGCATCAGAAGGATATCCCAAGGTGCTGGACAGTCTGGGATTTGGACCCAAGTTGAGGGTTGGGATCAGGAGGGGTGGAGAGCAGGGAAGATGACAAAGCCTGGTCCAATAGGAAGGTCTTGAGACGTGCTTTGAAGAGGCAAGGGAGGAAAAAGGCAGTCGCACCATCATTAAATGGTGAGCAGAGCAATTAAATGCTATCACATACGTACAGGCAAACAGTATTAATGAAATGTCGCTTGACACATTTATTACGTAAACTCAACTCGATCCTTTAGCATATAGCCACCACAGTGCTGGGGAACAGCCTGGATTTTTTTAAGAAATAAATTTCCAACTTGAAATGCATTAAATGCCCCCTCCCTCCCTCTCCACTTTCACAACCTAGCCAATACTTACCTATCTGACTGAACTTTTGGTCATCTTTCTTTCCACTCCCCCACTCTTTTCAGCTTCCCCCACCCCTGGCTTGAACACCCAGCTCGCAGTGTTAAGTGCTTTGAGATTTCCTTCTGACCTGAAAGGGGCTGCATAAATGTAATTTGTATTGTAAATTCTATAATTAATGAAATAAAGTAGATATTTTCGAGCAAAACGAATGTTTGAGCAGCTGAACAAGCAGTGGGCTCAAACTCGGAATAGAAACGATTAACCCAGTATACATTTTGTTCTCTAATGATATGGAGGTCACTGCTGGCCAGAATTGCAAGTCGATGATAACATTGGATTGTTTTATTTACTGACTGGACTGAAACCAAACAGGAAAATAGTTGCCCTCACCTGTTCCATCTCTTTGATTTTTAATTGAGATGCCTGAGTCGAAACTCATTTTTCTAAATTTGGTGACAAATCTTAAAAATAAAGGGGTAAAACCAGCAGGTATTTGTTCCTCAATTCATTTCCAACACAGGGAAAGGGTTAAAAGAATATTGAAAACATTTCCCCACTGCCTTTCTGAAATGTCCTGAAAGTGGGTATAACTGGTAAAGCCAGAAAACACATCCATTAAATATTTGCCAAAAAACAATCAGTGACTGGTTCCCATGTCATTGGTTCCCATGTCAGTGCATGAAAGCACAAATGGACTTCTTATTTTAGGTCAACAGATCTGAAAGAATAATATATCAACTGGTTTTCAGTGTGTTTTCGGATTCCTAAATCTTGCAGATGGCCATTAAAACCACCCACATACCCTAACCTGAATAGTGCAATAAACTGAGTGTTAAAGCACTAGACAATGGGACAATTTGTTTTTTCACAATGTCTCCAGGTGCACAGGGCCAGGGACACGCTCTATATGCTGTTCCTTCACACACACACTGCATTAAATAGCAGGAATTTCTGTAGAAGCACTTGAGACTGCAAACATAATTGAAACCATTAGTATATATATTTGTTTGCTAACAAGAGAAAATACTTGACATATCTAAATCTTGGAACTATTAGGGAACAAAATTCTGTCTGGATAACTGCAGTAAAAAAAGAATAAATATAATTTGATGAATTAATTGATATTTTTAAGAAAGATAAGAATACTAGGACAAGAAGACACTAATTGTTGCTGGTTTAGTCTGTGGAAAATGCAATGCAATTTTGACAATTATTTTAATAAAATTTTCCTAATGATTTCATACTAGAAAGCACTGAATATTAATAACTTACAATTCATATTGCACATTTCATGTGAAACCAAATGACTCAGTACATTTAACAATATGCAATTAATTGGAGGTTAAGAATTACAATTAAGAAATGAACAGATAGACGCGGCAACTGACCTGCTCCACAAACTTCCCATAAATCTGATTCGAACAGAATGGCAGGGACCAACCATGGCCAGATTAAGGGATCTGGGGGCCCTAAACCAGGTCATTTAGAGGCCCTCTGTACTGTGCATGCAACTGCTGGGGTGGGAGGAGCGGGGGCATGGGCCATTAGTGGAGCCACCTCCCATCTCTCTGCACTGCCTCATACCCTCATCTCCCTCTCTCTTCCCATCACTCTCCACTCTGCACAAAATTGTAGAAAGATTCAGAGTTGGGGGGTAAAAGCACCAACCACATTTGAGGCCCCCTCAGATCTTGGGGCCCTAAAACATGGTTTACCTAGTTTATTGGTTAATCCTACCCTGGGTCTAATTTACGTTATTTGTTAAATGGATTTATTACCAAGCAATTCCGTTGGAATGAGTCCCTCATCGACCTTTCGGAACTCCACCCCACGGGAATTGCATGGCAGCAGCGTTTCCGCGGGTTGGCACAACGTACTTGTGATGATCGGAAAGTTTCCTCATTGAGGAATCCCATCAAGAAATACGGCAAACTAGGGCGCTTTGCACGTTAATACCATTAATGGAAGTGTCATTACAATATAATTATTTCACGTATGCTAAATTGTCCGGATTTACAAAATACACATATGACGTTACCGAGGAGTACTGCTCCCCACCCCCCCATACCCCCATGATCAGTGCTCTCCAATAAACCCATCAGGCAGCATTACTGCTGTGGATCAGTGGGATCTATTAATAATGAGCAAATATCCAGCATCAGTCATCACACCACCACCAACAACAACAAATTGCATTCCACCGCCTTGCAACATCTTCCCGATGTGAAACAGCAACAACAACAACAAAATTACATTTATAGAGCGCCGTTCACGTCGGGAGGACTTCCCAAGGCGCTGAAAGACGCTATATAAATGTAATTTGTTGTCGTTGTTGCATCGGGAGAACCGAAACAGTATACGGTCCTGGTGGTCCTTTTCTCTGGGCAAACAGAGTTAAAAAGAGGTTTGGCCAAGCATATTTTTATTGTGTGAAGGCAATGAGTGCACCCTTTAACTACCCCTCAACTATCATTATTTTTTTGTGGGAGGGAGTGCTATGGGAAGCAGGGGGACTTTAACTAGAGAGTCTGGAGTTGTATCAGCTGCATTTGAAATTTCCAGTCTGGACAACAACAAAGATGCTTTTACCTCTGGGTACAAACTCCAAGAAGGAGTCAGTCAGCACAAGCCCAGGCAACGGTAACAGCAAACAGCAGGGAATGAATAGAAAAAAAGAGCAGCACTCTGCAGAAATTGCTGCAGAGTGAGCAAGCAAAACCAGAACGATTTGATTCACCTCTTGGCTCCAAGATCCATTGAGAAAAGATAATTTAAAGAAAAAGTTACCTGCGCACATATGTCCAGGGCAGAGTTTCCACCTGTGCATTCACTGTCGGACTTCATCCAGACCCTGCAAATCTCACTGCAGCAGCATCTCTGTCCCCTTTTTTCTCTCTCTCTCTCTCTCTCTCTCAGCTTAACACCCTCTCCCCAGCAGATGAAGCTCAGACTGGATGCTCCTCTGGTGAAGTTGGGTGAGAGTGGGTCCAGTGAGCAATGATGCTGTGTGGTGAGGACAAGGGCAGGGAAAAGGGGGGGAGTGTTGGGAGACAGGGGAGGGGAGGGAAGAGAAGGAGACTTACTTTGCTCTGATGGCACAGAGAAGGCTGCATAATTCATTCAACCAGATGAGAGTTCCCTTACCCACTAAGTGTACCCAGGCACTTGCAGGCTGTCAAAAGCTTACTGACACCTCCCCCTCTTTTTTAAAAAATATATTCTTTTTTTTAAAAAAACAGAAAAGGCAAGCCCTGATCCTAAAGGACTTTGTCTGCTGGGGAAATAAGAGACGAGAAGAAAAGCTTGACACAGACAAAGAAAGGAAAGGGTTTGTTGGCAGAGGAACACCATAATCCAGGCAGTTTTCAATTATTTGCTAAAGCTTCTTTTCTGTCTGATCGCCTGTCTCTGGCTCTGTCTCCCACGTCAATTGCTGAGCGAACAGTAAAAAAATTGACAACGATTTTTATTCATTTCTTGTCTGCAAGATCCATTTGCCAAGATCATTTTTTTTTAAAAAAGTGTGAGCCTCCCAAATTTTGTGCATTGTCTTCTGTGTCTGCAAAAAAGGTCTGCCAAAGGGAACTGATTCCTTTTCCATTTGTTGCTCTTGCTGCTGTTCTCATAATAAAACACATTTAAACGTCATTAACTGCACCTCGGCCTGAATACTGAGAGTGCTATAAAAATGATAAGCTTTTGAGGAGAGAGAAAAAAAGACATTAAATTGAATGAAGGTTTGCGTTCAGGATTATAATTCTATTGTAACCAGGCAGAAAGTCACTTGGACATCCAATTAATAGACTGTCTTGTTCCTTTGTCTCCTCAATAAATCATTATCTCCCTCCATGCATTAAAAAAGGGCCACTGGTAACCTTGTCGAAGAGTTCGCCATTCCATCAATCTATCTCCTGAATTTCCATGTGTAGGTGGCAGGTTTTCGCATCTGTCAGACACCCGGCTGACCAAAAAGAAATCGAAGAGTTCTGGTCCAGACTCAGGTGTGTTTTGGTCCAGCACGTTAGGATATCTTCCCAACTTGAAAAGGTGCTATACAAATGTAATTTGTTGCTATTAGTCTGGAACCTCTCCACTGCCATCATTGCAAGCAAAAGGCTAGTGCACGTTTGTGCTATGGGGGTGGGGGGTTATGTCTGTTACAGTCCAAACGTTTTGAATCATGCAAAAGAAAAAAATTATGTTAGATGTTGTCATTCTTAATGCAAACGTGGCGATCAGCAAATGGATCTGCCACACAGGGTAAACAGTGTGGTTTTCGCGGATTGGAAGTTGTTGTGCTGATTGTGGCATTGGCTGTCAAATTTAATGAATTATCCCGCTGACCGTAAAAGGTAATTTTTTTGAGGTCAGAATTTTGCTGACCGACCTTGCATCGAATTTTTCAGGATTTCTCTCAGTTGAAAAACAGTCCAAAAGTGAATTGCTGGCTCCAACACCTGCAAAGCAGCCTTCAATGGTGTTCGGAAGTCACAATGGTTTTATTATTTGATATTTATCATTATTATTAATAATATTTAATATTATTTGTGTATTTATTATTATTTCGCAGATTTTACTGTGTATTTGGAGGCAAGCAAGGCAGCTAATTTGCAGACAGCAATGTCCCACATTCCCAAATGAATGACTAATTATATCCAAGGGTTTGTTGACCAGGACTCCAGGAGAAACTCCCCTCTCTTTTTGAATAATTTCCATCTAAATAAGCAGACAGAACCTTGGTTTGACATTGCATCCAACAGACAATAAGGCTCATGACATTTCACAACTTTTATGTTACTCCTCATGAAGCACAAAAATATAAAATCCTTGGACTTTCAAAACCTTCATATATCCATTTAAGCACGTTATTAGAAACAAAAAAACACAAATTACACTTTAACAAAATGCCCCACGATAAATCTTTTGAGACGAGACAAATCACCTTCTCTTGAGTGGGCATATTATCATCAGTAGATAGTTACAGTTTCTGCTGCTGCTTCTACTAAAATTGACAGTCTACCTATGAGAAACGTGTTGTCACTAGTGTTCAGGTGCTTTATACTTGAAAGGTGTAATACCGCTGGTAGTATATGGTCAGGCTGAAGCTTTTATAAAGCTGTGTAAAGCTCCTCAGAGGGAGATCTACAGCACAATAGATGCTTTGTATGGGGAGCTGAAGGTGGCACTTCTTCTGTATGGTTCACTAGTGGGCGGAAGGCTGAACCATTCCCAGGCTTTTGGCTCTGCTTTTGTGAACTCGACCACTGGGAATTGTTCATGAGCAGCCACAATTGATTTACTTTTCAATTCCTCGCTGTCCCCATGAGGGAAGTGTCTAGCGTATTCTCTGCACCATACTCAGAGGCTCTGACGATCACATCAGCCTGGCACTAAGAGGACTTTAAGGAAGTTCTAATGGGCACAGTCAGTGAACTGTGACGAGACTGAGTTGTTGCTCTTGGACGAAACTGCTTCTGTAACTGCAGCGTGAGGGACTGCCGCTGGGAGTTTTGTAATTGTTCTAATTGTGACAAACGTTGACTCACTTATCTTTCTCCATAGATGCTGCCTGACCTGCTGAGTTTTCCCAGCTCTCTCTGTTTTTGCTTCAGATTTCCAGCACCTGCAGTATTTTGTGTTTTGATTAATTTCCGAAGTACAGTGTCAATGTGTTGTGACAATGGTACCACCTTTCTTCCACAACTTCTTCCTTATAGTTTTAGAAACATTGGAAAACAGAAAGACGAGGTCGTTCAGCCCATCCAGCCTGTTTCATCAGTTTATTATAATAATACTACTAATAATTATTTATTAGATCTTGGTCGATATTTTAGTCCCAATTTCCTGCCATTCTCATAATATCCCTTTGTATCTCCAAACCAAGCATCTGTCTCTGCCTCTCTGTATAGGACTTCTTTATACTTCTCAAAAGATTGACCAAAACCTAACAATGAAATGGGAAAAATATTTCTCACACCATTTGAATCATTGTCAACACTGTTTTTTTCTAAACACCAGAGATACTAGAGGATTGGTAGAGAACTTGTGGTTAAAAACATGTCCTTATGACCTCTCCTTAATGGTGGCTTTCAAATTGAATACACGCATATGACATTGAGAGAAGTTCTTCCTCTAGCCATTACAGAATGGGAATGCTGCCATCTTTCTTTCTAATATAGTGAAGACNTTTTTTTTATTCCACCTGCATGGCAGAATGTTATAATTTATTTTTAAAATACTTTTTTTTAGATGACTTCCTAGTGAAGAAGCAAGAAATCTGCCCTCTGTTTGTCAGCCTGAGTGTCAATCCAGACAAAGGGTGCAAACCTCACTGCCGGTTTGTGGGATCCGGGTTTATTTAATTTCTTGTTTACTATAAAACCCAGTATCGTGCTAAATGACCATCAAAGACTGCATAACTGTGTGTCATCCTAGCTCAGTTGGTAGCATTTTCATCTCAACGTCAGAGCGTGCAGATTAAAGACCAAACATGGGGCATTGAACTCATAGGCTGACAATCCAGTACACTACTGGAGGAGTGCTGCATTGTCAAAGGTGCTATCTTTAAGATAGACATTAAACTGAGGTGTAGTCAGCCTAATCAGGTGGACTTTAAAGATCTCATGGCACCATTCAAAAAGAAAAGGGGTTTCCCTTGGTGTCCTGACCAACAATTCCCCAAATTAAAAAGTAGATATTCAGTTTGTTATGCGCGAATTGGTTGCCAGTATTTCCTACAAAGTACACAGTCCTTACACTTTGCAGTGTATCTTGTAAGTGTAAATACATCTTTGGGATATGAAAGGTGCTATAATATATAAAATATAAAGATTATTATTGTATTATATTATCGGTGAGTCAAACTCCATCCCCATGGACTTATACTTGTGCATGTCACCATTGAGAAAGATTTTCAGAGGGGTCTACCACTCAGCTATTCATTGCTATCAATGTCATAATTGTCAAATGGACCACAAATCTGCCTTCATTATTAGTCCATCTGGCTCAGTGTAGCAGGAAAATATTTCACATGTTGTCCCACTGCCTGCAGTAATGCCATTGGTCCTATATCACACGGCAATACACGAGACAGGCAGAACAGAAAGATTCTGACATCAAAAGAACTAAACCTTTCAAAGACCTGTCACAAGAATTGAGTCTTCCACCACAAATTTTCTTTTCTGTGATGTTACTCACTATTATTCAGTGACATTGATATTTTTGAAACACTACCCTTCTCTCTTCTCAGCTGTCTCCACACCTCAACTTGTCTGTCCCGAATACATTGCACAGGAAAGCTCCTCCATCTGGCAGTTAACACTAGTGGTGAAGCCACCATCTCAATACCATACATTGCAAAGCTCTATAAGTATGAGGAAAGTGTAATAAATATTCAGAGGGGCCTGTAATCCAATCTTTGCATTTTATGTGATGTTCAGAAGGTGCACAAGCTTCATTAATATGATCCATGACAACACCTGACCTGCCTCAATCAGATTACTGGCTCAGAATCCCCCACCAGCTATTTATTATTCTCTGTATAATATATGATGAGAATCATAGGGGCTCCGGTGATCATGAAGATACGAAAAAAAATAAAGTAAGGATCTTTGTCAATGTCATTTTCAGGCCATTTACCTGGCACCTTCAGATATCTGCCATTTATTGCCATTGTATTTGCAAAGGATTATTCAGATATTTCTCGCTGTTTAGCTGAGATTAACTAACTATATAAACCATTTTATTCAGTATGCTTTTATTTCAATATTTTCCAGGTGTTTGGTTAAGAAGGTGTTTGTGTGAGATGAGGTACACCAGTGTTGACTAATTGACTACCCACACTAACAAATGGTGGACTTCCAGTTATATATAGGAATATAATTTCCTGCACGTTACATGCTGCACACAGGAAGTGTTGCAGATATTA